CGCCCTCCCTCCCCCGATTCGCGTCCAGTCACCGCCCGCGGCTCTGGGGCCGGGAGGGGAAGGAGGCGGTGGGGCGGGCCGGGCTGGGGGCGCGGAGGCGGGCCCGGCGCTCGGGTTTCGGCCCCACCGCGGCGGCCGGGGTCCCCGCGGCCCCAGCAGCGCAGGCTCTGAGAAGACGGCGGGGGCGCGGCGGGCCAGGCCAGCCCCTTCCCGCGGCCCGCGGCGCGGCCTCTGCCCCGGAGGCGGGAGGAAGGCGGCGCGGCCGCGGCCTCGACGTCGGCGACCGCGCCGCCCGCAATGGGAAGCGCCTTATAAAGCCGCGGCGCGGCCGCCCCGCCGAGTCGGCGCCACGCTCTCCCGGGGGTGCCGCGCGGACCCCGCACAGACCGCGCGCAGACCCCGGCTCCGGACGGACTCCGGCCTCAGAGAGCCCGGCCCGGCCCGGGCGTCCGCCGCCGGCCGATAGGCGGGGGCCAGGGCGCCCCCGGCGGCGGGGGCATGCGCGGCCCGCGGCATGGCCTCGGCGGTGTTTGAGGGCACCTCGCTCGTGAACATGTTCGTGCGCGGCTGCTGGGTGAACGGCATCCGCAGGCTCATCGTCAGCCGGCGCGGCGACGAGGAGGAGTTCTTCGAGATCCGCACCGAGTGGTCGGACCGCAGCGTGCTCTACCTGCACCGCAGCCTCGCCGACCTGGGCCGCCTGTGGCAGCGCCTCCGCGACGCCTTCCCCGAGGACCGGCCCGAGCTGGCGCGCGCGCCGCTGCGGCAAGGTTCGGGGCCGGGGGCCGGGGCCCGGGGAGGGCGGGACCCCAGACCCGTCCGCGAGGCCGTCTGCGAGGGCGCGGAGGGCAGGGGGAAGGCAGGGGGAAGTCCCCTGGTCCGAGGGCGCGGCCGCCCCTGGGGACGGGACGGGGACACTGAGCCCCTCCGCGCCCAGACGGAGGGCAGCGAGCGGGGCGGGGGCTGGGGGAGAAGCGGGGTGGCTCCTGATGCCCCGGAGGCCCCATCGGCAGAGGGCGGAAGACGGGTGCCCCGACCCGCTGGAAAAGCGGAGGAGGCCAGAGAGGCCCCGAGCGTCCCCAGGGACGAGTCGCTGAGCAGCCCCAGAGCGGCGGCCCCCAGGCCTCCCGGTCCAGGCCCCGATCTGGCGTGGCCACCGCTTCCTTCCCCATCCTCGCGAGGGACAGCTGCGACCCTCACCCCCCAGCCCGCCGGGCCGGGAAACGTTTGAGAGGGTTAGCGACAGTGTCCAGCTGGGGTCACAGTGGCGCCACCCCTGCCCCCGCTCCATTCTCCCGGGAGGGGATCGCCTCTCGTTGGCCGCGGTGACCGGCTGCCCGAGTGTGAGGTGCCACGCAGCGGCCGTCACTCCTCAGGAGGGGCCACCCCACCACCGGCTGCGAGGCAAAGCCCGGGTGCCCTGCCCAGGGCCGGGTCGCATTCGCGTTTGATTG